GACCAGGAAGTCAGAGCCGAAGTGGTAGGCGAATATCGTATCGATCTGCTTTACCTCGGGTGCGTGGTCCACGCAGATCTTCAGGATACGATTAAGGAACTTCGGTTTGGCTGTTTTGCCAGACAACATCGCCGCGTACTTCAGGCCAGTGGACACCCAAGTGGCCAATATGTAGATGCTCACCAGAATGGCACCGATCGCGTCCAGGAAGTAACAACGGTAGTAGGTGGCCAGGTAGGCGCAAGCGATCGCTGTCGCGTTCGATAGACAGTCGTTGCGATGATCCTGCGCCAGAACCAGACAGTTAGAGTCTTTCTGCAAACGGCACAGCACAAACAGCACAAATTTAATGACCACCGTGCAGACCATAATTACTACCGTAACGAGACCAACGTCCGTCCTGCGATCGCTGATGATCGCTTCGATCGACTTCGCGATTATCTGAATCAAACAAACATAATTAGAGGCACAGTCGGCATCATTCCATGCATAACGTTTAACTGCAGACGTTCAAAGTATTGGCTAATAGCAGGTTATAACACCTGCATTGTTTAACAACTTATTTTAGATATTTTTATTTTTCTTTGAATAGCATATTTGCTATGGTATTAAAACATTGATCTGATTTATGATTCATATAGTCCTGATGATTATAAAGATAGAAGTATCGAAAAGTGTCGAAAATTCAGCAACACCTTATCATCATCGTTTTATGCGTGAGTTCTTTAGCCATGTTAAAGAAATTTTTGATTGATCAATTATGGGCCAGAATCGAAAACTGTATTCATTGAAGGTTTGCATCTTGTCTTGATCTATGAGACGGATCAGTTAATCAAATTTCTTTAAGTGAACCCTGAGGCAAAAGATACGTTGCGAAAACCTAGATATAACAAATATACAAATACAAAACCAGCAAAATAAGCAACGGAAAAAAGTTCAAGGCGAATTGCAACCTTATGGTGCACTTATCGAAAAACATGACCACATAAATCTAGCAAGCTCAAAAAAAGGAGGAAACCAGAATACCAAGTTGTTCGTATCGTGTGTGGCTCGTTGACTTACTGTTGGTCAACCGAAGAACTTTGTGCGAATTCCCTGCCCAAGACAATCAGCTCTTAATAAGAGAAAATTAACGTTATGTGGAGATTTGAAATTTCACCTCAGACTTCAAAAGCCAAAGTACTGCGTACTGTGTCACTGCAAACTCATCTCATCCCACGCAGCAGAACCAATTAAAGGTGATCACTCAGCCTTCGGGACATTTCTTAATTGGTGATCATACTGAAAACTTTATAATAGCATTGTTGAACCATATAAAACGCAAGCGAATTGGTAAACTGGGTGATTAACCAGTGCTGACATTTCGGCTCGCATATCACGGGCCTTCTTCAGGATAGCAGGGTTGATTTCCGCAGTTCATCCTATGGTCCGCAGCTGCTGTGACGCTTGGAATCAAAGGTGTGCTCACGGCACTGGTTAAGTATCTTTTCGGCAAAAGGTTTAACAAGACTTGTCTAATCCGTGCAAATATTGTATCCTTTGTGCACAAATAATCCAATCCTGAGAAAATGCCAACCTTAATCACCTGATCGCTTTGATCTGCTTGAGTCATGTA